CGCCGGAGCAGCCGGAGACCAGCGGGAAGGGTAGGTGGATAAATCCCTTTCCCCTCCCCTGCATTCGGGACTGCTGTGGGCTCCCCAGTGGGTGGAGAGACCTGCGGATACCAGCCCAGAGACGGCCGCCGCCAGCTAGCGGTGAGCCTGTAGCAGACACGGCACCGGACTCCCAAATCCCTCGGGGCACCTCCGTGTGCACAGACCCGAGCCGCGCGGCAGGCGCCATATTGCCTCCTCCCCACCTCCGCCAACCCTACCCGCAGCTGCCAGAGAGACAATACAGCCACCAACCAGAAGCACCTCCAGGGAACGGGACCTTCCCTTTTGGACCTACAGCTGACTAAGGGGAACTCAGACTGTGAGCTCCCTACCCGCCAGCCCTCCCAGTGCTGCTGGCACGGTGTTCCCAGGAGAACGGTGCCAACTCAGAGGCTGAGAGACAAGACACAGCTTGGGCTCCCTGTGGTGGAATTGGACCAGAACTCCTCTCCCTGGGGGGATACAGTTTGAACTCTGGGACCCAGAGGTCGGACCTGCAGACCAGATCCCGTGCACCGAGGTCTAGCATTGCCCGGGGCACAGAAGGGATATTTGTGAACAGCCTACTGAGGTATGTGTGCCTCCAGGGGCAGATCAGCGTCATAGAGGGCAACCCTCCCCCCAAAGGGAGGCCATGCGCCCAGCCCAGGTGGCGTTCCTGTGCAGGGAACCTCCCCGCTGGCATCACAGTCGGGGAGCCTTGTGGCGTGTGGTCTGGCCTGCTGGCAGAGGCCCAGGAGTACTGCGGAGTTGGGAGGGTGGAAAGAAGCGAGGCCCGCTCCAGACTGCTGGTCTCAGACAGCCCCACCCCCACAAGCAGACTTTCTGGCTGAGCGGGACCATTCCAGCCCCGCCCTGACAGCTTTTCCTGGAAGGAGAGAACGGAACTTTGATCCCTGCTAACGACACTGGTGGTGCCTGAGGGCAGGCTTACCCAATCCAGCTCCGCCCAGAACAAGAGCTGATAACAGGACACAAAATCAACAGCATAGCCTGTTCCTCCAAGCAAGCACCACCTACTGACAGGGACGGCATCCTGCACAGCCTTTTCACGGCAGCCACTGACTCATTATACAGGGAGTGGTCGAATCTCACCCACAGACACCACCTAACGCCTCAGAAACTAAACAAGGCGTGTGAATACCCAAACAAAAACCTAAAGGAAAGAAACAACAACTGATCGACATGGGAAGAAATCACCGAAGGAACTCAGGAAATATGAAGAACCAAATGGAAAACACACCCCAAAGAGGAGCACCAGCCCCAGAAACAGACACCAACCAAAATCAGGCAACCAAAATGACAGAAGAGGAATTTTGTATGTGGATCATAAGAGCACTCACTGAGCTGCAACAACAACTCAATAACCAACACAAAGAAACCACAAAAAACTCCAGGATCTGGAAAAAGAAATAGACACAATGAAGAAAAGTTTAACCGAACTCCTGGAAATGAAGAATCAATTCAGGGAACTACAAAATACAGTGGAAAGTCTCAAGAACAGGGTAGATCAAACAGAAGAAAGAATCTCAGAGATTGAAGATAACACCCTCCACTAAATAAAACCATCACAGAGATAGAGCAGAGAAACAAGAGAAAAGAGCAAAGCCTACAAGAGATGTGGGATTATGTGAAGAAACCTAATGTGAGGGTCATAGGTTACCAGAAGGGGAAGAGGACAACACTCAAGGGTTGGACAAGCTATTTGAAGATATAATAGAGGAAAATTTCCCAGGCCTTGCTCAAAATCTCGATATACAAGTTCAAGAAGCTCAGAGGACCCTGGAAGATTCAATGCAAACAGGAAGACGTCACGACATGCAGTCATCAGACTGACCAAAATATCAACTAAAGAGGCCTTCTAAGAGCTTAAGACAAAAGCAGCAAGTGACATACAAGGAAAGCCAATTCGAATAACACCAGACTTCTCTAATGAGACTTTACAAGCAAGGAGAGACTGGGCCCCATTCTCACTCTTCTGAAACAAAACAATGCCCAGCCTAGAATCTTATTCCCTGCAAAACTAAGCTTCATATATGAAGGAGAAATAAAGACATTCTCAGACAAGCAAAGTCTCAGAGAATTCACCCAAGACAAGACCAGCCCTACAAGAAGTACTCAAAACAGTGTTACGCACGGAACACCATAATAAAAACTCACGAATATAAAAACAACTAAAACCAAAGATTAAAGCCAGATAATACAATGGCTCAAGAGAGAAATCAAAGCAACAACATCCAATCCAACAGAATGAACAGTAATCTACCTTACCTATCAGTTCTCTCAATAAATGTGAATGGCTTAAACTCTCCACTCAAGAGACATAGGCTGGCTGAATGGGTAAGAAAATACAGGCCAAGTATATGCTGTCTTCAGAAACACATCTAACCTGCAAGGATGCATATAGACTAAAAGTAAAAGGGTAGAGATAAGTATTCTAGGCAAGTGGAAGCCAAAAGAAGGCTGGCATGGCAGTTCTAATTTCAGACGATTTAGTTTTTAAACCAACAAAAGTAGTGAAAGACAAAGAGGGTCATTATATAATGGTGAAGGGCACACTTCAACAAGAAGAGATAACAATTTTAAATATATATGCACCCAACTTAGGTGCACCCAGTTTCATAAAGCAAACCTTACTGGATCTTAGCAAATGGATTAATAGCAACTCCATAATCGCCGGAGATTTCAACACCCACTTAGGCACAAGACAGATCCTCCAAACAGAAAATTAATAAAGAAATAATGGACTTAAACAAAACCTTGGAACAACTGGGTCTGACTGACATCTACAGGACATTCTACCCAAAATCCACTGAATATATGTTCTTCTCATCACCTCACGGGACATTCTCTAAGATTGACCATATCCTAGGATACAAAGTAAATCTCAAGAAATTTAAAAAAATAGAAATCATACCATGTACCTTCTCAGGTCACAGTGAATAAAAGTAGAAATCAACCCTAACAGAAACTCACATTTCTACACAAAAACGTGGAAATTAAACAACCTCCTACTAAATGATTACTTCATAAATGAAGAAATCAAATGGAAATAAAAAATTCTATACTCCTACACTGCTGGTGGACTGCAAATTAGTTCAATCTCTGTGGAAAGCAATATGGAGATACCTTAAAGCGATACAAGTGAATCTACCATTTGATCCAGCAATCCCATTGCTGGGCATCTACCCAATGACTCAATGACACTCTACAAAAAAGACACCTGACTCGAATATTTATAGCAGCACAATTCATAATTGCAAGGCTGTGGAAACAGTCCAAGTGCCCATCAATCCAAGAATGGATTAATAAAATGTGGTATATGTATACCATGGAGTACTATTCAGCTCTAAGAAACAATGGTGATATAGCACATCTTATATTTTCCTGGTTAGAGCTGGAACCCATACTATTAAGTGAAGTTTCCAAGAATGGAAAAACAAGCACACATTTACTCACCAGCAAATTGGTATTAACTGAACAGCACCTAAGTGGTCACATAGGTACGATGTAATAGGGTATTGGCAGGGGAGGGGGCAGTGGATATACATATAAAATGGTGAGATGTGCACCATCTGGATGGTCATGCTGGAAACTCAGACTTGTGGGGGAGGGGAAAATGGGCATTTATTGAAACCTTAAAATCTGTACCCCATAATATGCCGAAATAAAAACAAACAAAAAAAAAAAAACAAAATTCACTCATGGAATTTCAACATTCTTAACAGAATGAATTATATTTTCCAAAGCAGTATTTTGAAAAGATCCAACAGAATTTTATCTAATCACTTAAATGAGGTTTAATAAAGACTCTTCATGACCTTTAAAAGTAAAACTTAAAAGTGCTACCAAATTATTTAACATGAATATGCTCTGAATGCAAGAATTTCTCTGAATTTAAGGAATGTCAACAAAAGTACTGTGGCCTGTTTCCATCTACTATAAATCAGTTTGTTGCTATCAACTTTTTAGAAGAATGACAATAGAATAAAGATTTAGAAAACAGAAAAATACCATAAAGTAACAGAGAGCTCAAAATATATAAGAAAGGCATCATACTGTTGGGAGTGGTATATATATCCTTTTCTTAATCTCCTTCGCAAAGCTTCATCAATGTCCCATGGAAAATTAGTAGCGCCAGTACCATAACCATTTTGGAAGGATCATCATTCTTAAAGCTCCTCCAACTCTATTCAAAGTAAGAGAGAAAAAGACAGGGTTTTTCTTACAAACCTTTATTCTTTCATTCAACTAACATTTAAATGTTAGCCACAGTGCTTGGCGGGTAGGATCAGTGATCAAAACAGTACAGTCCTTCTGACTTCTGTATGGTGGCAAAACCACACATATCAACAGATAACTTCAAACAAAGAAGTAGATGAATTTAATCTCTCTCTTTGGGGGAGGGGGGCAGGTATATACATATAAAATGAGTGAGATGTGCACCATCTGGGGGATGGTCATGCTGGAGACTCAGACTTGTGGGGGGAGGGGGGAAATGGGCATTTATTGAAACCTTAAAATCTGTACCCCCATAATATGCCGAAATAAAAAAAACAAACAAAAAAAAACCCAAAAATTCACTCATGGAAATTTCAACATTCATTAACAGAATGAAATTATATTTTCCAAAGCAGCATATTTTGAAAAAGATCCCAACAGAATTTTATTCTTAATCACTTAAATGAGGTTTAATAAAGACTCTTCATGACCTTTAAAAGTAAAAACTTAAAAGTGCTACCAAATTTATTTAACATGAATATTGCTCTGAATGCAAGAATTTCTCTGAAATGTAAGGAATGTCAACAAAGTACTGTGGCCTGTTTCCATCTACTATAAATCAGTTTTGTGATGCTATCAACTTTTTAGGAAGAATGACAATAGAATAAAGATTTAGATAAACAGAAAAAATACCATAAAGTAACAGAGAGCTCAAAATATATAAGAAGGCATCATACCTGTTGGGAGTGGTATATATATCCTTTTTTCTAATCTCCTTCGCAAAGCTTCATCAATGTCCCATGGAAAATTAGTAGCTGCCAGTACCATAACCATTTTGGAAGGATCATCATTTTCTAAAGCTCCTCCAACTCCTATACAAAGTAAGAGAGGAAAAAGACAGGGTTTTTCTTACAAACCTTTATTCTTTCATTCAACTAACATTTTAAATGTTAGCCACAGTGCTTGGCGGGTAGGATCAGTGATCAAAACAGTACAGTCCTTCTGACTTCTGTATGGTGGCAAAACCACACATATCAACAGATAACTTCAAAACAAAGAAGTAGATGAATTTATAAAATCTAGTGTAGGATTCTAATCCAATAATAAAAAAGAACTTTTCTATAAGAAAAGTATATTTCCTCTGAAAAGGCTTAGGAGATTAGGCTCTGTTTTATTATGATTTATAAAAAATATTAGTAAGAGGAAATTTCCTCAAAGATTTTAGTTTCTATTCCAATTTATTTGACTTTTCTCAAGATGAAAGAACAGAAGAGGGTTCACATTTACTTAATATATTAGCATGAAATAATAATTTTGAAAGACAGGTCATATTGTACTAATGTTGTTCTTCAAACTTAGTGACTTGTAAAAAAAATAAACAAGAAAAGAAATTGAAGAATGAACCTAGTAACCACTGACAAAAATAACCAAACTGACTATACATATATACAAAGTTTTTCTACTTTTCAGCATTAAAACTTTAGAATAAAAAATTTCAGGTCATACAACAGACACTCTGGGAAATATGTAGTAAAAAAAAAGTATTAAAAATCCACGAACTATTGATAAGACTTTCTAGCTTGACATATAACAAAATATTGGTGGATTTAAAGCAACCCAGTTCAATAGGGTGTTTTCTTAATAAATTATTACTAAACTCCTACTTGAATCATTATCATGAAGAATCAAGCTATCCAACTAATAATCAACAACAGTCACAAATACTGCTCAATGAAATTCAGCCAACCAAATTTATATTCAGTGATTTCTTTTTCCAATCTTAAACACCTAATATTTTCCCCTACATCCCTCCCCCAAAATATAACAGTCCCTCTTTTCTCTCATACCTTAGCAAAAATTAAAATGGCAAACTCATTGAGGAAAAGGACTCAGTACATTATTTTATGTATCATACAGTGACTGGCACTGTATACAACACACCAACCACAGTTGGTGATCATGGCCGTTTTGAAACAACACACTTTGAATATTTTTAAACACATTTTATCTTTGCTCATGGTTTGCTTTAACAGCCTCTTGTTTATCACACCACTACCACAGTAAGACACCTCTAAAAGGCAGCTCTAGCCCATAACTCTCTTCCCTCTATGGCTCCCCAATGCCTTTTCTTCTTCTTTTTTTTTGAGACACAGTCTCACTTTGTTGCCCAGGCTAAGTGAGTGCCATGGCATCAGCCTAGCTCACAGCAACCTCAAACTCCTGGGCTCAAGCAATCCTGCTGCCTCAGCCTCCCAAGTAGCTGGGACTACAGGCATGTGCCACCATGCCCGGCTAATTTTTTCTATATATATTAGTTGGCCAATTAATTGCTTTCTATTTATAGTAGAGACAGGGTCTCACTCTTATTCAGGGTGGTTTCAAACTCCTGACCTCGAGCAATCCGCCCGCCTCGGCCTCCCAGAGTGCTAGGATTACAGGCGTGTGCCACCGCGCCCGGCCACCTTTTCTTCATCTGGATAACTCCTACCAATACTTCAAAGCCCAACTCTACTATCTCATTCCATGACTCCCTAAGTCTGGGTGGTACCTCTCCTATTATGTTTCCATTGCACCCACAGTTTACTTGGACCACAGAACGTGTCATAAGGTATTATAATTATCTGATTAGTGACCTACTTCCCACCTAGATCAGCGGTTCTCAACTTTTTGGTCTCAAGATCCTTTTATGCTCTTAAAAATTATTAAGAGCTCCAAAGAGTTTTTTGTGTATAGAATATATCTTTCAATATTTACCATTAAAAATTAAAACAGAAATTTAAAAATATTAATTCATTTGAATATAAGTCCATTACTTATTTACATATTCATATGAAAAATAAGTATTAATAAGTTTTTCAAAACCAAAAAAAAAAAATTAGTAAGGAGGGTAGCATTTTTTTTTTACATTTTTGCAAATCTCTTTTATATATGACTAAACAGAGAACAGCTAGATTCTTATATCTGCTTCTGCCTTCCCACTTCTTCTAGCCTCAGGAAAATGTCACTATATCCACATACGAGAGAATGAGAGTGAAAAAGACAAATAATGTCTTGATATTACTATGGAAATAGTTTGGAACTTGCACACTCTTTAAATGGACTCAAGCACCCTTGGGAACTCTGGATCACACCTCTAGAACCTTTGCTCTAAATAGTAAGCTCCTTGAAGGCCATGGTAGTCTTTTCGTTGTAACCTTAGAACCTGAAATGGTGCATGATTTATAACAAGTATGTGATAAAATGCTTTTTGAGTGTATGAATAAACAAATAATTTTTAAAAATTCAGGCTACCTTCTAGTCCATTCACTGAGAATTCCCAAAGCCTGAATTTATACAAAATTTTTAAAAAGGTAAGTTTTGAAACAATAATTAAATATCAATTACCATCCATCTGAATGAGCAGTTCAGACTTGACTCTGCGACTTGCCTCATGTTCATCAGAGGTTCCTCTTCGACTGCAGATAGAATCTATTTCATCAATGAAGATTGTGGTAGGGGCATAAAATCTAGCCTTTGGGAAAATATTTTAAAGAAATCATTCAATGATCTCATAAAATAATCTGAATATTTTTAAAAATACCATTTTCTCCTTTTAATCCTTTTAAAACCATGGCAAAAAAGCGTACAAATTTGTTTTAATGCCACCATCTGGTTATTGACAGAGGCTAAATCAATCATTCACATCAGAAAAAAAATTATAAAAATGAAAGTTATATGATCGGTAACATTAAGTGGCAGATATATGGGGATTCACTATACTATTCTTTCTACTTTCATGTTTGGAAATTTCCATAATGAAAATTATTTTAAAAAAGAAATCAACCTCTTATCCTCAAATATGCATTGTTTAGTAATTATTGCAAATCCCTTATGAAAAAGGAACAAACTTTAATGGCAGATCAGTTTCTGATTGATTTTTTAAATATGTATTAAATTATTCTTCTACTCTATCAGCTTACTAGTGATCCAGAAGTACCAGTCAGTCTACGGCCATACCACCCTGAACGCGCCCAATCTCGTCTGATCTCAGAAGCTAAGCAGGGTTGGGCCTGGTTAGTACTGAAATGGCAGAAATAGCAGTCAACCCACAAACATGACCAAAGTCTCCTCCTCTACTCTCACTGGACAGGATGCCAAAGGACACTCTTTTACCTCAGAGAGAAAGATACACTGACCAACTATCCCACAAAACCCACCACCCATGACTTGCTAGCTAGTGTGTCAAGAACTATTAAAATATAACTATATTGCCCTTTTCAAAAAAGATTCCTAGGTGAACAGACCTAGATTTATGGGGGCATCATACACCTATACAAATAGTACTCTGAAATCTGAATCACTCACCATTTCAAACAACAGACGGACTAACTTCTCAGATTCACCTCTATATTTAGATGTCAGTGTAGAAGAGGAAACGTTGAAGAATGTTGTACCACATTCAGTAGCTACAGCTTTAGCTAGCATAGTCTTACCAGTGCCTGGGGGTCCAACCATCAGTACACCCTGAAATTTCAAAAGATGAATTAAGTGATTTATAAGATTAAAATGTTTTTTTATAAATTATCAACTATTAATGGACATAAAGATTTTCCCATCAAAAGATAGACTCAATTGTCACAGTAAAATGGTATATTTAGCAAGAGTATCATTTTATAGGTTAAAAAAATGAAGAATGATTTCACAAAATGTCTCAAATCAGAGGTGGTCAGAGAAAAGCTAACACGGGGCCTAGACAACAAAGAATTTTCTCATATATTTAGAAAGAACCTGCCCAATTTTCCTGAACCTGGCACAAGATATATATATACACATATATATTCTTGAGCACTGCTTAAGAGTGACTGCTCTGTTTAAACATAATGAAAATAAAAAGACATTTTCTATCACATGTAGCAAAATTATACATTCCTTGTCCTTAATACGGGACAAAACCTGTCTTCCACAATGCATGTAAAGCTTTTAGTCCAAAATAAAAATCCATTTACAAGTTAATAAGGTAACTGTAAAATCCAGTGGTGATCAAATTAGCTAAAATTTTATCATCAAATTAGCTAAAATTTTATCAGTTTAATGTGCTAGACAGTTTATATAAAATAGTGTTAGTGATGAGTCACTAAATATAGACTAAAAACTAAACTTTAGTTACTTATTAGCTTTGAAAACAAACATAAAAGTTATTCTATAAAAATAAATACATGAATAAAAATTATACAAGAAACCATCCCCTAGTCTTAAAAATAATGGATTTTTAAATAATTATTTTCTTCTAACGCTTTTATTGGGAATTCAGATTCATACCTAACACTACATTTCTTTTGCATAATAGTTGGTGATTCCTTAAGAGAAATTCCGACCCAATTGCTAATTCAGTCTGATAAGCTTCTGGGGTTTAAACTTTGGAATTATGTATATGTCAAAGTACCATAAATTTAAAAACTATCCAAACCCTTTTCTAGCTATAGAATTTTTTTTTTTTTTTTGAGACAGAGTCTTGCTTTGTTGCTCAGGCTAGAGTGAGTGCCATGGCATCAGCCTAGCTCACAGCAACCTCAATCTCCTGGGCTCAAGCAATCCTGCTGCCTCAGCCTCCCGAGTACCTGGGACTACAGGCACATGCCACCATGCCCGGCTAATTTTTTCTATATATATTAGTTGGTCAGTTAATTTCTTTCTATTTATAGTAGAGACGGGGTCTCACTCTTGCTCAGGCTGGTTTTGAACTCCTGACCCCGAGCAATCTGCCCACCTCAGCCTCCCCAGAGTGCTAGGATTACAGGCGTGAGCACTGGCCGCTATAGAATTTTGATACACAGAATGACCAGGAGTCACTAGGACATGAAATACTACTTTTACAAAAATTTTCTTTTGCTTTTTAGGGAGCCCTTAACTGTGTGTGAGACTGAGATTTTGAAACTATGAAAAGTGACTTGATGCTACAGGTACTGCTATAGGCATGGCTATAGCAAAGTTCATATTTCTCTTTCTAATAACACCTCTCAGTTCCTGTAACGTCATTAATACACTCACCTCCAAGTGTAATTGCTAACATTAGCATCTGTACATAGATGGTCATAGATATAGTACAATACTTATAAATTTCACTTTCTCATGATGTTACTCCTTCAATTATCTCCTCTCTTTCCTGTATCTCCTTAACTACTGGCTCTTTCTCCTCAGCATATAAACATACTTAAATCTGTCCCATCAAAAAAAAAAAAAATCCCTTGGAGAAAGGACAGCTTCTTCAATAATAGTGCTGGGAAATCTGGATAACCATATGCAGAAGAATGAAACAAGACCCCTATTATCTCTCACCATATACACAAATAAAATCAAAATGGATTAAAGACTTAAATCTAAAACCTGAAACTATGAAACTACTAGAAGAAAATATTGGGAAAATGTTCCAGCTTTAACTGGAACATAGCTTTAACTATGCTACCTACCTGCTCAACGAGGCCTCCCCAATGCCTAATGGAAAAAGGTTGAACACCTGGCAAACACAATCTGGCTTCAACCTACCTTTCCATTCGAATCTCCCACCAATGTATTTTATTTATTTAACATTTACATAGTGCTAATTAGTCAGATACTGTTCTAAGGCCTCAATAACTCATTTTAACCTCTCGATATCCTATGAGGTGAATATTATTATTTCCACTTTATAGATAAGAAAACTGAGGCATGGCAAAATTTAGTAACTAAACTAAAATCTATTTATTGACCCATTTTGGAAATAATCTTCTATTCTCACAAATATCTAAAAATCTCAAACATAACCTTCTAAAAAAGAACAATAATTCTATGTTCCAGAATTTTATTCTATTGATGCAGAAACAATTTATTAGCCTAGGAATAAGATTCTTTGCAAATACATTTTTACATTTTCTAATCCAGTTTGCCAATAAATACTACAAAAGCACATCAAGGGGTAAATAAATTGATAAAGTCAGATCATATTTTTGTAACAATGACATAAGAAACAGTCTTTAAAAAAACAGCTGCAGACCCCTTTAAGAAAAATTTATAAAAACTCAAAGTACAGTGAACTTTCAAAGGCTCAAAAAATACTGGCTGCATACCCATGACTTCGCCTACAGTAAAAAAAAAAAAAAAAAAAAATACTGGCTGCAAATTATAATCACCTTTGCCTGGTCAGAAGCTTTTGCCCTCTCACCCCACATGTCCACTGGGACACCTGACGAGGAATTCCACCTTCTGTGAGGGATATGAACATTACTTCCTGTTGGTAAGCCCTCCATTGGGGAAGCTACCCCTAAGAGAAGTGAAGATGATCTCATGTCAAAATCTAGATCTCGTACTACAAAAACGCCTTCTCTCCATGGGTCCTTCATCTTAGTTTTAATTTTTCTTATTTAAAATTGGGATGAAAAAAAAAAGAAAAAAAAAAAAATTGGGATGGCTTCCAGAGTACACTATCTCCTATAGCATGCTAGATTGAAAGGGAACAGAATTTATCATAACTAAGCTACATAGCATGACCTAAAATAATAAAATGTTCATTTTCTTTACATCAGTTTTATCAACTCTACAATCCTAGATAAATGGAATAGCAAAATCCTATAATATTCTTGCATAATTAAGCAAGCTAAAGAAAAATACCTTAAACATTGCCCTATCACAGCTTAAATCAAAAGTAGAAGGTAACATCAAGGAAGCTAGAAACTTCAACTGGCCGACAAATTCAGAAGGAATCAAGACTACCCTCACAATCCCCAAGGCCACAGATGGGTATTAAATTCAGTTCAGCTGTCCAAGGGATTTTTGCTTGTTTGTTCGTTTTGCTACAATTCAAATACATGAATTGGTAATACAACTAGTATTAAGAAAATAAACTAAGTTTGGGAAACACTGAATTTTAAATTTTCTGAAAGAACCTAACATATCGGCAATTTAATTCAACCATTTATTTTTAGTCTTATAAATACCACAGTGAAAATTAGATTCTCGAACAGAATTATAACCTCGAACAGAGGTTTTATTAGAGTATACGAATGCTTTTGAATTATAACATCAGTCATACAATAAATGTTTCATTAAAACATAAGATAAAACAAAAAATACATAATATTATATGATTTATGTTTTTTAAATACCTACTTAAAACCTTGTCCTTTAAGGCCAGGTGCAGTGGCTCATGCCTATAATCCTACCACTCTAGGACATCAAGGCAGGAGGATTGCCTTAGCTCAGGAGTTCAAAACCAGGCTGAGTGAGACGCCATCTCTACTCACAAGAGTGAGACCCCATCTCTACTAAAAATAGAAAAATTAGCCAGGCATTATGTAGTCCCAGCTACTCAGGAGGCTGAGGCAGGAAGAGCACTTGAGCCCAGGAGTTGGAAGTTGAAGTAAGCTATGAGCTATGATGACACCACTGCACTCTACACAGGGTGACAAAGTGAGACTCTAAAAAAGAAAAAAGAAAAAAAAAAAGAAAAAAGGAAACTGAACTCCCCTCCTCACTAGCCCCCCTTCATAAAAAAAACAACAACACAAAAACTTGTCTTTCAAATATTGTTTTAAAAGTTATAGTAAAGGGGGGAGATAAGTTCCCCAAATAAGGTAAATCTATAACAAATGTAGTCTGTAAAAGTTTTCAAGTTGTTCGAAGCAATCAAAATGCCATGGGTGCTCTAAGCTACTAATATAAATACACAATTTCTCCTCCCCTCTAATTTTGGGCATATGAACAGAGGAAGAGGTGTTAAACAAACAAACGGACCTTCCTAGCTAACTCAGAAGAGCAAAGTAAGATCATGCTGTCATTTCATTATACCAGTCAAAATAAGTGAAAACTCTGCATATCTCTGCAACGAAAAAAAATGTTCCAGACACCCTGGAAGGTGGGAGCTTCCAAGCAGCTTAGGAGAGTTTTTAAATATGCTAAAATGAAAACGCTGGACTTAGGGGGACCTAACTCTAAGCTTTAAACTCTAAGCCAGGGGTGAGCTGGAAAGAAACAAATATTCTGTTTATGTTTGAGAATTATATCAAACCTAGATTAAACAATAATCAAAATAATTAATGCTTACTGAGAAATATGGCAATTTTGAAAAGTATTTATGTGATCAGATTATTATTAAGACTATGTACTATTTTTATTTTCTAATTTTTTTTTTTTTTTTTAAAAAATCTCACTCTGTTGCCCGGGCTAGAGTGCCATGGCATCAGCCTAGCTCACAGCAACCTCAAACTCCTGGGCTCAAGCGATCCTCCTACCTCAGCCTCCTGAGTAGCTGGGACTACAGGCATGTGCCACCATGCCCGGCTAATTTTTCTATATATATTTTTAGTTGGCCAATTAATTTCTTTCTATTTATGGTAGAGACGGGGGTCTCGCTCTTGCTCAGGCTGGTTTCAAACTCCTGATCTTGAGCGATCCACCCGCCTCGGCCTCCCACAGTGCTAGGATTACAGGTATGAGCCACCACGCCTGGCCTATTTACTAAATGTTTTATTTACAGAGACATCTAGAAAATTCTTAAAACTATTCTCTAGCTCAGCATATATAAGGGAAGTAACTTTACCTAAAGACTATGGTTTCTACATTCCAAGTCCATTTCTCCTGTCATGCAGATATAGCACATCTCAACCACAAGTTCAAATCCAGGTGTTCTGAGTGTATATAAACCACCCCAACCTTTACAAACTGTGTTAAACACACAAAAAACTACACCAATGCTTCCTTTCATTATCATGCATTATCATTCTTATTCCAAAACTATTTTAATAAATTCTCACCTTCCATGGCCGTCTAATTCCTTTGAAAAAGTCAGGCATCCACATGGGAAGAACAACAGCTTCCCTTAGCAACTTCTTAGCTTCTTCGAGATCTGCAATGTCATCCCTTTGCAAGAACAGCAAAATTTCATAGTGGTTATTCAGGGACAGCTTGATTTATAGTCAAAACTATTCTTTTAATTTTTTTACTTATAAAATTATTCTTTTATTTAAAAAATTATTCTAATTTTTACTTCATAAAAATATCAGTGAAAACATACTGCAGTTATTAATTAGAACATGTTATTCAATTAACAACCTTTGTCAGTTATATGAACATCAAAGTAACATGTAAAGTGTCCTTGGTTATATTCTGACAGAGGAACTGTCCCATCAATTCTGTACTCTCATATTATGGATGAAGTCATAACCAAGAGATTAATGGATAGCAAGAGAAGACTTGTAACAAGCCAGCCTAGAACTTGTTTTCTCCTCTACTTTAATTCAATAATTTAAAAGACTCTAACCAATGAATGCTTGGATTCCTGGATACAATGTCTCTCTCAAGGGCTTCTATCAGATCCTTATCATATCCAGCACCATCAAATTTTGGAATTTCACCATCACTTGTACCATCTTGCATATTCTTCCTTCCCTGGTAACAGATATAAAAAAAGTGCTGGTCAATAACAAGATAATTTTAATTAACATCATTAAACTTTCAAAACATTATAATGTAATCACTTTTTAAATAATTTTTATTATTTTAAGATAGTATTTTCTTATTACTCAAATGCTACCCTCCTCTATTTAACTCATCAGAAATAGAGGGACTGGTCAACTTTATTAAAAACATAAAATCTACATTCATGTGGGGGACAGTATAGGTAAGACTAAAATGATCCTTGCTAGATCCCAACAGATTAGGAAAGCCTACCTTTGAACTGGTGGATGCAGAGGATTTCCACCAATGCTAGAGAATATTTAGAATATTAATGTAGAGGAAGAAAGAAAATTAATTTACTGAGAACCTACTATGTGGCAGAAAATCTCACATACATTATTGCATTTCATATAACAACTCTACAAGGTAGACAATATTTTTCCTTCTTTTTACAGATGAGGAAACTAGGATTCAGAAAGGCTAAGTAACTTAATCAAGTTCACTAATAAATGTCAGGGTAGACATTTTAACTCAGTTCTTCCTGCCTCCTAAATCTATGCCTTTCACATCATACTGCCTGTGCTTGGCTGAGTCCCTTAAAGCTTTCGAGCAGGTTGTGTATGGCACAACAATTACATCCTCTAGAGCATCCAGGAAAGAGGCTGCAGATGAGGAAGAGTTGGGAGTCTGCAATGCATCTCACAAAGCCTTTTCCCTGTTACTTTAAGTACCTCCTTAGGATTCAGGGTTTCTTCCTAGTAAGGTCCTCAGGACACATCATTAAGTCACTTGGTAAAATCATAAAGACAATGGTAAAAGGACCTTTTTAAAACAGTATTATTAACCACCATTAAAGCAGTATGATTTATGCCAAATTCTTCATTTAATAATATGGTGCTTTTAAAGAAAAGAATTATATGCTATGGTTTCTATGGGGTTCTGCCAAGATTTACTCAGTTTTGAAGAGCTTTATATGATATGTACTCATTTGCCAAAGACAGTCCAACTACTGGAACTATTTGAGCAGGCAGAGCCAACTATCTCCCCAGAGCTTTAGCCCCACACTAACTGTCTAATGTAAAAATGAAGGGGGGAAATGGTCAAAATAAGTCCGTCTCCTAAATGTCAATCTGAAAAGAGACAATAGAACAGGATGAAACTGTCTAATCCTTGTTCTGAGATAGACAAAAGGCTCAATTAGAAGTGCTAGGAGAAGACTAAGCAGCTCCCTTTGGCAGATATTCTAGTTCTTTTAAGTCACAAGGTAAATGACCAAATAGTATTCTGGTGACTTGACCCAAAATATGAATAATTTACTCTTTCTGGGCAGTATGGAAGTAGTATTAAGCAATTTTCAGGAAGATTCTTACATTTCATATAACCAATATCAAAATTGGCACTATTGAAATGAGTAAATTTCTAGCACACCTACAAGGAACACAACATTAACAAATTTAAAATAAGCTCAGTATAGAATCACATTTTATATTATATACAGGCCAAAGCTACAACGTCACACTCAAACAAATCACTGGGAATACTTTAAAGCTATTCTAGAAATAAATCAACTAAAGAATGCTACAGAAACGGATATATCTGGGACTTAAGAAAGAAAAGAAAGAAAGAAAGAGATATAATCATTCTCAGAAAATAAACTGGTCCTCTTGTAAGAAAGACGTATTCATGATACATGAAAACAAGATAGTATGCATTTTCAAATAAGAGGCTTTATAGCATAATGATTAAAAGCTCAGGTATGACAGCCGCACAAGGTTCAAATCCTATTTTCACCATCTACCTGCAGTTAAGACTTCGGTGCCTCAATTTCTTCATATGTAAAACAAAGAAAATAATGCTGTGCTCACAGGACTGTGTAAGGATCAAACAAACCAACATATGTAAAAAACCTCAAAAGGGGCATTTTTGTAGAAAGCTTCAAAAATGATAAGTATGCTCAAGGGAGAGTAATATTGCTCTGCTATATTAGTAGTAATAATACTACTGCTATTATTAGTTGTTCTATCATATAGTTCTCAACACCAAATTGAAAATCCAAATATACCAGGGATCTTGAGTAAAATTTGTCTAAGTTCTCTTATCCTCACTTTTTTTACATCTATGAAGTTGAGTAAGTGGTTGGAGTACAGCAGCAGCTTTCAAAATTCTGACCATGACATAAAATAATAAATGCATTGTAGATTATTAGCTAGATATATAAACATAAACATGTTTATATATCTAAATTTTTAATATATTTATATAACTAATTTTTTTCTCAAAATAATACTGTTTTACTATGAGAAATAAACTCTGAATTTTCTAGTCTGTGCTACTTCAATTTTTTTAAAGCTGGTTGCAACACAACACACAAAACCAATCTTTAAAAAAACACAAACACTGGGGACTACAATATCTCTGAGGACACTTCCAAAACTCGTTTTCAAATTAGCTTTCAGTGAAGTGGGGCATCTATCAGTTTCACCTAAACTGCCTTAAATCTTACTAGAGAATATTTAGAATATTAATGTGACTCAGACAATATCTTTTACCTCCAGACAACTATAGAGTTGTTTTTTTTCCTTAAATAAAAGGCTCACTTTCCAATGACATTCTGAGAATTTACATGTCAATGAAATAATAATTAGGATTTAAAACATTATTTAGAAATATTATAAATGAAAGACAATTTAAAATCTCCAGTAAAATGTACATAACATTCAATAAATGCTGCTTGATTATTTGGTTCTTTGCTTAAGAATCACATTTAAAAGCCAATGTTTATTTAATAGTTCTAGATCTCTTTTTCCAAATCCAAGCCAGATTTTTAATCTAGCTTGGTAAGTAAGGATACTATATAATATGAAAACTCTTAAGATAACAGGAAAAAAATGTATAACTTCATCCATTCCATTCTTCCAGCCTCCATCCTTACTCTAGGACCCTTGGCAAGTTACTTTAGCTCTCTGTACCAGTTTCTTCACCTGTAAAATGGGGAAAACAAGATATCTACTTCATAGGATTATTTCATGAATTATTGTCTAATCACTCTGAATGGTGCCTAGCAAAGACGGATCCAATAAACCATGATCTCAGTTCTTCTCCTTTGTTAATGTGAAATTAAAGACTAAAAGTTCCTCACCCTGTCCTAGAAGTTTATCTAAAAAGCTATTCATAAAGTGAGGGTTGGATTTCAGCCCCTACTTTATTCTCTAAAATGCAAACCAAGGCTAGCTGCACAAAAAAAGAACAGAAGAAGAAACAAAGATGATATTTCAGATATAGATTTTGAAGTATCCATTTATGTGGCTTTTGATAATGGAGGAGAACCAGTTTAATTTTATCAGCAGGAAAAATTTATTTATTAGTACCCTTCACTAATCCCAAAAAGGGTCTGAGACAGAATCACTACTGTTTTATGACATAAAAGCTCCACCAAATTACAAACATAAAAAACTCTAATTCATTTTCAATGTCCTAGTGAGGCAGAGAGGTAGAATGTGTCTTCGAATCTATCTCATGAAAAAAAAATGCTTAGAAAACACTAGTTTTATTCTATCGTAGTCTAAACATCCATAAAGCCTAGGAAATTGGTCTACTTAAGAGTCCAATACTGATCAAAATTACATGTAATAAAAATATTCAAATGTAGTACACATTTTGAAGGATAACTACTTATTATCAGTTATAAGTCATATCTTCATTATGTGTATCATGACATGAATGTGATTACAGATCCTGAATTCCTAACAAGAAAACTTCTTTGCGGCAATTCAATTACATTATCATTCATTTATGACATCACAATGGAAATGGGAAATGCTATCACTAAAAATTTTGGTTTTTTCACTAAAATCAAGGCTAAGAGATGCAACAAATCATCCTGCTAGTTCCTTACTATGAAAGATTATCTTCAACCCATTGTCTTAAAGTCAATATTAAGGGAAATACAGAATTTCCAGGCAATACTATGTTTATTCACTGAGATCAATTTCCTAGATAAGTAAATGTGCACAATGAATCCTAAGGGACATTTTCTCACTAAGGAAAAAAAATCCTGTTCTACTCTACAATTTATGGATGAATCAAAGATATTTATTTTTAGCAGTAGTAATCACATTCCTTATCTTACTCTGTGAATATATATATATCTACTTTCTTACAAGTCTTTCTCCTTTAATTGTTTTCATTTATTGTTCATTTTAATTCAGAATATGTTAAAATATTTTTTAAAAAGTTTTAAAACTCTATTTTGAATATTGCTATAAAGGATCCATTTTACTAACTATTTTTAACGTGGGTATATATATTATCCTGAAGTTATCTGCATTGCAGCATGGCCTTGAAAATACAAAGAAGGCTTAGGTTTTGAATCAAGACTTTTTTAACTCTTCTACATCAAAACCTTGAAAAGCCAACAAAAATCATAATATTCACCAAAAGTCATAGGCTTCAAGTCAGTGAGTTACAAAGAAACAGTGTCTTGCCTTGTCATCTCTCCCTCTTGCTCTATAATCCTTGTCCCTACTTGCAGAAGGTTTTTCACTCTTTGATATAGGATGTGTTCGGCCCACGGGTCCCCGGGCTCCTACTCCTGCCATTTCTTTCCTCAGAGGTCTTACTTCTCGACTGGGACGCCTGATCTGAGGTGGAGCTCTGACAAAAAAAGATAAAGTTAAAATCAAAATTAATCAAAGGCAAAAGTATTTCAATACAACTTTAGTCAATAAAACTGTTAAATCAAGAAGCCCCAAATCTCATTTTCCACCTTTTGCCAATTTGTGGCCACAACTATTAGGTTAGTTTTTAAAAATTCTTTTCTCTAAAATGTACTGGTCGATACAATTATTAAATACATATAAATGACATGTACGGTAGCAATTATTTTGTCAAAAGTAACTATTAATCACCAATAGAGGGCAACACAGACTATTCCCATCTAATAATCTTAACAGTGTAATGAAAAATCAATAATTTTATTCATTACTGTCCTAAACCAAGAATAAGCAACTTAAACAACAACAACAAAAAAAAGTGGTGGCTCACGCCTGTAATCCTAGCATTCTGGGAGGCCGGGGTGGGCAGATCGCTCAAGGTCAGGAGTTCGAAACCAGCCTGAGCAAAGGCGAGACCCATCTCTACTATAAATAGAAAGAAATTAATTGTCCAACTAATATATATAGAAAAAATTAGCCAGGCATGGTGGCACATGCCTGTAATCCCAGCTACTCTGGTGGCTGAGGTAACAGCATTGCTTGAGCCCAGGAGTTTGAGGTTGCTGTGAGCTAGGCTGACACCATGGCACTCACTCTAGCCTGGGCAACAAAGTGAGATTCTGTCTCAAAAAAAAAAAAAACATTAAAAGCTGAAAGGACAGAAATTCAAAATATGTCTATCTTCAGTTTACCAATTTATTTATATTTTTACAATCAAGATGATTTTCTCTGCTTCTGTATTGGAAAACCCAATATTTCACTCATCAAATTGCAAATGCCAGGGCTTAACAATTATTTTCTTATAAACAAAATAATTTATATGTAAAAATATTCATGCAGGTGTCAAGAATTATGGGATGGTTCCAATTATATAGACTTCCAAATGTGATTAAGAATTTTGATAAATATATAAATGTAACTATACAAAGTGGCATATTTTGTTTCATGTCATGTGAAACATGTCTCCTTCAAATAGTCAAGTTTTGAGGTTCCTCAGTAAGTATTTGTCTCTTTTTGGATAAGAGACTATAACTTAATATCTAATCTTAGTTCTTTTTTCTTGAACTGTTGCTGCCTCTATTTTCCTACCTTTTCTCTATATATAGTTGTATCTGTATTTGTAGCCCTTCAGATCCCATATGTGTATTCCTTTTTTATCCGTGTGCCATATCTATTATGAACTCCCTTCCAGCTTCACACTTTTTTTTTTTTGAGACAGAGTCTCACTTTGTTGTCCAGGCTAGAGTGAGTGCCATGTTGTCAGCCTAGCTCACAGCAACCTCAAACTCCTGGGCTCAAGCAATCTTGCTGCCTCAGCCTCCCGAGTAGCTGGGACTACAGGCATGCACCACCATGCCCGGCTAATTTTTTTATATATATTAGTTGGCCAATTAATTTCTTTGTATTTATAGTAGAGATGGGGTCTCGCTCTTGCTCAGGCTGGTTTCGAACTCCTGAGCTCGAGCAATCCGCCTGCCTTGGCTTCCCAGAGTGCTAGCAGCTTCACACTTTTAATTCACCTAACTCCATCATGGAGTTTTCATTCCTGGTATGAGAAAAGATTACATATGCACATAATTCAATGAATCCAGCAAGACAGGAAAATGGATGAAAAGCCATGAAAGTTGCAAACTAGGGGCAGACAAGGTTAAACGGTGTTTCAAGTATTATATAGCATATTCAAAATTGTTGGAATTAGACGACATCATGAAATTGCTAAAGATAAGAAAATCTGGTGAAAACTGTATGTCTATTACTGACCTCTTAATCACTGGAGTTCAGTCTAGTTAAATAATTATTTATTGAGCACCCATTAGGTGATATACAGTCTCTATTGTAATGGCCCCAGAAGGAGACAAAGATAAATAAGCAATCTTGTGAAAGAAATTCACAGGAAAGGAACTAGAAAACAGTGAATAGTAAAATGGCTGTAAGGCATTTTGAAATTTAAAGTATTATTACATCATTGGTTCTAGGATATTAGTAGTCTTTTATGCATTCTGTCAATAAAATCAAAATGTGATGAGACTAGTTAAAAAATAAAAAATTTAAAATGTTACTCTGTTTCTAGTATTTTCAATGTAACCACCATTTTCTGACTTAACTATTTTTGTTGTTTTGACGAAGCAGTGGAAAGTAGTAGAGTACAACTTTACTTTTATTTATATGTATTTGTGGATGTATAAATGTCTTTCCTGAATCAGATTAATGGATATGGCTAAAGATAATGAGACCAAAAATCTCTTCCACACAGAACATGTGTCAAGTTTGCCCTTTTGTTAGCAGCTATGCCTGCTATTTAAATACTCTGTCCTTGTTTAGGGTCCTGCTTTTTAGACTCAACAGCCAGCTGGAAGCCTTTGCTCAAAAACAGCAAGCCCATCCTTTACAGTGGCATGTCAGGCTGCTAGTCAGCTGCTGGGCTTGCCCAGTGACACCTCATTGCTTAGGAGTGACCTACAGCAAAGCTTGAGACATTTCCTCTGCCTTCTCTGCTTGTGCCTTCCCCACCTCAGTATGCTATTTAATAGCCACTGAGGAATCCTGTTGTAGTCCATTTTGCACACATACCCAGCTCAGTAAAGCTGTGTTGTAGAAGAACTATTTTCAAAGCTTATTCATAGGCTGCATTTCAAGTGTTTGCTGTTACTGACCTTGTTCTGCCACTCAGTATTCTGATGGGCTCATAAATGGTCTGAATGACACTGCTCAAGAAGCCAGATGTGCCATTTGTGGCAAGTCCCATGTCTCACAGGAAGTGTGCCTGTGCTTTGTAAGTCTTCAGTTCCATCTCACTGCAGTTTGATATTACATTTGAACAGCCTCTGTCAACTTCCCAAAGGACATCCTTGATTCTGTTCCTTACTTCTTTGTCCACTAGTGCATCACTGCACAATGTCATGCTTCAATTTAAGAACTCAGTGACAGCTTCCAGGCTGTGTAAATAATAAAAGTCTCAAGGCTTCTTTAACTAGGCTGTTTTTCAAAAGAGACTTTAGTAAGGTTACACAGCATCACTGACCTTTGTTCTAATGGCCAAACAGACTGATACTGTACTATAGCATTTCAAATATAAAATTGGCCTGCAGATAAAAGACAAAAATGTCTACACGGTGCTTAGTTCTCCTGTTTGAGATTTCCCTATAGGAAGGGAGGAAAATATGCCTTATTTTATCACATGTAAATAAGCCTGATTCCCTCCAAATTCCAATACTTCCTCTTTCCAAGCTATATTAAATATCAGTATTATATATAAATGTACGTATCAGTACTGCTTGTAATAAATACCTGAAAATAATCCAAATGTTCATTACTGATACATAAATGAGCAAATATTCACATAATGGAATACAATACAAATGTGAACATGAATTACAGCTACATGCAATAACAATAAATGAATCTCAGGACCATAACGTTTAGTGAAAAAACAAGCTGAAAGCATCCTTCTGAAGATGCCTTCATTTCATGCCATATTAAGAAATAGAATCTAATTTACTATTATAATTTTCTCCAAAAGATAGATATAAAAGGCTCCTTCTGAGGAGCTATTGCGCTCTTTCCACTTCCCCTACCTTTCTGTTTGATAATTATTTAAAATTCTTTGATTACATCTATTTGTCCATACATTGTTAGAATTCTGGTATCATTTAGAGTAAGTAATTTGGAACAAGTACAACTTTTACCTAAAACATAAGCCAGATTACTTAAAGTTAACTTCTGGAAAAGAAAGATAACCTAACTAAGCTAGCAAACTGATCTTAAAATAAACAAGAAAACACTTCTCTTCATAGTTAATAAAAATACAAGAAACACAAATTCTAAGTAGTCCACATTGACATTTTCACTATAAGGACTTTGAGTCAATATCTGAAACTTCTGAATCCATGAGAAATTATTTGGTGAAAAGTCAGCAGGCAGAAAACAAAGTTTAAACCTATGACCCGAAATTAAACATTAATGATTATGAATTTTAATGTCTACTCATCAAATACATAACTGCTACTTTTTTCAACTTAGTAAATATTTATCATGTACCTAATAAGTACAGAAACTATGCTTGATGTTATGATTAGCATAAAAATGCTGCAAACACTATTTGTACCTTCACAATGAAACAGCATGGTGATCTGGAGTCAGCACTAAATTTAGAATCCTAAAACTCTGATATCTTGGTAGAGTCCCAGGTCTACCAATTACTGATTATACAAGGATATCACTTAACATCTATAAGCCTCACATTCTTATTCTGTAAATGATGATATTACTTCGTAGAATTTTTAAAGTTTATTTTTTATTGAGGTATAATATATATATACAGTAAAATGAACATATATCAACAACAGAACTCAAAAAATTTCGTGACATGTAACCATCAGGACATCAAACATAGACTATTTCCTAATATTTCAGAAAGCCCTTTCATGCCCCCTCTTAGTCAATACCAGCCCCTAAAGATAACTACTATTCTGACCATAATATCATAGGTTAGTTTTGCCTGTCCTTAAGATCCATATAAACAGAATCCTATAGTATATACTCTATGTCTGTTTTCTTTCTTTCAATATTACCTTTAAAATTCATCTGAGTTACTACACATAGCATTAGCTTGTCTTTTTTCATTGCTGTGTAGTATTCTATTGCAGATAAAAGACAAAAATGTCTACAGTGTGCTCAGTTCTCCTATTAGTGATTTCCCTATAGGAAGAGGGGAAAATATGCAGACACAGTTTATCTAATTCTACTGTTGATGGATATCTGGGTTATTTCCAGTTTGAGGTTATCATTAAAGTTCTATGAATATGAGCATTATATTCATATAATAAAGACAAAAGCATTCATTTCTTTAAATTACATACTAGAGTGGATTGCTGGATCATAAGGTATATGAAAGATTAGCTTTAATAGATACGGTTTTCCAAAGTGGTGATGCCATTTTAT